TACATGAGTTTTTGTTACATTGCGCAGACCTCATTAGTTTTACAATCAAATCTGTTCATGTTAATTTTCTGATTTGCATAATTAGTTTTCAGCTAAGTAATTTCAAATTATATTTAATGTGTCTCCAATAGTCTCAGCACATGGGAGTTCTTTCTAAGCTTTCTTTGATTTTGTAAATTATTTTTTTATGCACAAAGCAGGTGTCGCTTTTAACATGAAAACGTAGAACTTTTATCCAATTTTATTTTTTATTTTCTAACATGTAATTCAGTTTATTATAATTTCATGAAATTTGAAAGATTACTATACCGCACTTTATCACTGCCATTGCAGCTTTTAAAGCCAAATACAACCACCTGATAATTTTGTTATCTCCTAATGTGTTTTTTTTTATTTCTAAAAATTTTTGTACCAAGCATTTTTTTTTGATATATAGTGTAGATATATTTGACAAAGTATTTAGAAGTACAATTGCTGTTGATGTGTATATAAGCCAATTTTTGTTGTACAAGTCTGCTCATGTTATATGTGTTTATGTGACTTTGCAGTGATTTCCAATATCGTGAAATAGACTACATTGCAAAACATTGTGTTTGTGCTTGTGTTTAACTTTGAGTTGCAGATTACAAATTGTATACACAGATGTCACCTCTATTGGATGTTTTAAAATATACATAAAATAGTTATTTAGATACTTACAAGTCACCATATTGTCATATTGTTTTGAACAGCAACATTACCACCTGCAGCGCTATGCAAGTCTTAAGATCATTATGCAGTTAGAACTGGTTAGATCAAACCATTTTTACAAGGGTGTTCTCTTCGGCTAAATACATGAATTTACGAGCATTATGTCCAGTGTTACGCCACTGTATACTCAAGATTGTGTTCTGACATGTTAAACTTAGTCAGTACATGGATTTTGTTTAAATTATTTGGATAACAATTTCCTTGCCATACGGAAATTTATACGATTTGATGAAATAAATTGTATGATAATAGCGTATTCTATTTATATTATTCCACGTGTCTTGAGATGCGCATTCAATTGTTTTGGTGTTCGAAACAATATAGTAGTACGTAATGGCATACCGTCTATATCAGCATTATTTTCACTGGTGTTTAATTTCACTATTTCATATTCAAGAAGTTTTAAATTTTCCAATAGCCTAATTAGTTGTGTTGTAATTTTCATGTACACATGCATTTCATTTAGCTTATCAGCGAGATTTACTTAATTGTATACTGTATTTGTAAAAATAGGAAAACTCCAATTTTCATAGACTGAGCTATTTAACTGGCAGGCATAAGTACATGGGTGGTATGGTTTTGGGGAAACCCGCAATATACAGTAGTAAACCCTCTCATGAAATTGCTGAAAACTTTAGAAGGAACCATTAGCTTTGCTTTGCTTAGCCTTAAGGGAATCACTTAACGAGTAGGATTTTGTCTGGGATTTGCACCTATTTGTGTAGTCGTGTCTGTCCAAGTTTTACTTATTATATGATAGTGGTTAGCACAATATCTTTGATTTTACTGTGAAGGACGTTTGATTTCTAAGAGTTCAATGTTGAAATCCCAGCTTTATACCATCTGTATTGAGGGAGTGGTTATTCTTCATTAGATTAAACCTTTGAATCATGTCTGTAAACATCATTGTATGTAATGCATGCGTTCAGTTTCGGCACAGTTACTTCTAGTAACCATGGTTTCAGTCATTATTGCATGCTGCTAGGATTGATCAGTTTTTGTGCAAATCCTCGCGTGCTGTTTCACTAAAATGTATATATATTTTTTTTTTCATTCCCTCACAGGGGAAATTATTTAGAATAAATACCCTATTTTGAAACAATTATGTTCTTTGTCTTTCTGATACGATGAGATAAAATGTTTTTTGTTGATGTGGCAGGGGTGTATCCGCATGTCAAGTTTTGTACACAAAGGGTTCTTTAATAAGTGTGCTTTACTAAAGGTACGGTACACAAAACTGAAAATCATGCTTGTGCAGCTCTCAGACACTTCCTTTCATTAGTCCCTGTTGGTGTTAGATTTCTACTTCCTGTGACAGGAAGATTTGTTATGGTCAAGTTGGCTGCTTGCTCTGAACTCCCAAGGTTGATCTTTTGTAATCATTTTCTTCAAAATGTATATAGTTAAATGCATATTTGGATACTCTTGCTAGTTAGTGTAAATGTATTTTTCATGTGTAATTATGACTTGCACAATTACTTAACTTTATTTTTGAATTATACTCCAACATGCTGAAAATACTTGACCTTTCTCCCAAATGACATTGACTATGGTTGGCTGCATGTTATACTTGGAGGTGATGTATCTGTCCAATATGTATATAATAGAATAAGCGAATCTCTCCATCTTGGATTTCCTCATTTAAGCATCAGAGGGTACCCGTACTATAAAGCATAATATGGCGCCCTCTATTAATGGCTTGTATGTAGAAATCAAAGATAGGTAGACTTGACTATGTTTTATTGCACTGGCCAAGTCGGTATGGTACTTTTTTATTTATAAAGAAAAAATGTATTTAGTTTTTCATAATTTTAGTGCCAAGATAATAAGTCAATAAAAAGGGGTGAAAAATGTTTTTTTTTGATGTACAAGTCTCTATTATTTTGAGGTGTGAAAACGACAATGCAAGTAAAATGTGGATTTAATTTGTAACTTGCATCAAGACAAACAACTGTACCTGCCCCAGGTTCAATTCAAGCAACACATCCATTATGTTAACCCTAAACCGTAGCTGCTAGAAATTTGATGGCATTTGTAAAAACAAAATTTGCCAAGTCACCAACACTGCAAGCCATTTACAGATGTTTGAAATGTATTTGCACTAAGTCAGTTTAAAATTTGCATAACACCCTCATCGTTGCATGTTACTGCACCTTTGGAGTTGCATGCAATCAGTGGACTCAACGAGGGCGGAGCAGCTTGTATAGCACTGCAGGGAATCAATTACTGTAAACAATGGTTTTTAATTTCACTAATAAGTAAAACATTGCTAAATTAAATAAATATATATATTAAATAAATCATTGTTTTCCTGCCAAGTTTGTGAAATTAAAACCCAGTAAAATTGATCAAAATGAAATGATTTTCCAGTATACAAGTTGGGGGGGGGGGTGTCATAGCTTCAATTGTTCTCGTTCCTAGATGTACATGACTGCACGCTGAAAATAGTCAAACGAAACACTATCTAGATCGAGATCCAGTAAAGACCAACACATACATCATTGGTTTGTCTACTAGCACAAACAACTGATTCTTTCAAAACAGTAAACTGTTCTATATCAATAGTGTGACACCTTGTCATTGAAACACAAGTAAAACACCAAATGCATGATATTGATACACTTATTTATTCAGACAAAAACACTTGTGAAGTGGCAGTTGCATCAATTCTCAAATTTACAATTCAGCTCAGGGATACAAAGAACAAGAAATATAATTAATTACTGTTAGAACAAATTTACGAACTTGGAGGTGGTTGTATAATGAAAAATTGCTTTTATGCGCAATTCCTAGCAAATATCGCCAAGAATGAAATGGCCTGTAGCTCAACGTTTTTTTGCCAAATAATGAATGGAGTAGGAAGTGTTATTAGGTATTATACATCTGTCATCATAACGCCATAAGTTACAGCGTGCCGTAATTTTGCAGTATTGTACTGGGTATTTTCATCCAACCATATATGAAAATGCGAAATGATTATGCCGTAAGCGTTCTCTAATAATGAAAACAAACATGACTGCCATCAGGGTTTGACTGTACCCATACAAAGAAGGTCTCTAAATTTGTTCTAAATGTTTTAGATTTCGGCATTATTCATATTATGCCATACTTTTTTGTGTTTGTTTTCAGGAAGTGTATGACATTACATATTACTGGTAACAAGATGCTAAGATTTGAGATACTGATAGAACAGACACATATACAGATACCTACACAGATAAACTAAACTACTATGACCATTAATCAAATACACATCTCAAGTATCAAAGTAATTGGCCTGATAGTTTTCTAGAAGAAAGTTGACAATATAATTGTTGATGGACAACAATCAACAACCACCTATAGGTACATGTCTGCTCCGTCATCTTCAAAATTTGCTACTTTAATTACACAAGTTTCAACAAACTAAAAACGTTTTTTGTCTAATACAAAATGCCCTGTGGTCTACTCCAATGCTTGTAGCATAAGCAGTTGTTTAAGAACTTTTGTCTGGCTCGTTTCTCTAATTTCACCAGCGAGAAACATTTCATCCACCACAGCGTACACTTTGTAAAAATTAAACACCAAATCCAGCTCGCACACATTGTGAAAATATTCGTTTAAAACCTGTAAGACAGAAACACAATAGTCAATATTTATGTTAGGGTGAGTATAATTTGGTTATCTACAGTGGCGGCAGACTGACAAGTCTCTCAGTTAGCATATATGTACCTGTGTAAATGATAGAGAGTAGTCTATGGTCAAACTATTTTATTTTACTATAATACCTTGTGCAACCCATTATTGGAACAGCATGTTCTCATTATTCGATCAGTACTACCAGGGGTATGTGCACCCCCTTGTTATCAGATGTTAATGGAGATGGATTTAACATTTTCAATAATCTAATTCACCTATAGAGGGCGTAACGCAGGGTTACCACTGTTAAATTGTACTCCGTGAAATACCACTGAATCTTACTGTACATATGTAATGCAATGTGAACAACTTTGATTTCTTGATCACATTTAAATAATGTTGTTTGAGATCGCATCTTGATAATACGATATGTCAAAATTCATCTTAAAAATAATGAGGTCAATGCAAAAACAAGATTGTGTTCGGATCAAAAATATCAGAAATGTTTCAGTCTGTCAATATTTGGATGAGTTACAACATTTTCAATTTTGTCTAATTTTGTCTGATATTTATGAATACATAATAAGCAAATTTATAGTAATACTTCTCATTATTTTGTCTTTTCCCTGAATTTGTTGAACTTTTTCTATAAATGTCAAATAGTGTAGTTGGCGTTGACAGTGTTTCTATGTGTAGATGCTTCATAATTTTTGTTGTCAATATGCTCATACAACTAAGTGATCGAAGTCATTTAATATTCGGTAGAAAGCTGATATTTTAATTTCTCTATTCTCGTTATTTGTAAAATTACAGAAACATGGGGAATAAACATAGAAATAACTTGAATAGTATTTAACCAAGAAAATCTCGCACTATCTCATGTTATTTTATGAAATATAATGGATATTGCGTTATTGCATTATAATCATTAGCTAAATCATGGAAGTAAAAGACAGTTACCTCCATGGTTGAATTGATTATTTATTGGATTAAATAATTAAGCCCCAAAACAAGTAGTGTAGTGGCACTGCCATAATACTTGTGTCCTGGCAAGAATACTGACAGTATGTCATCCTATTTCTCCCTAAATCATGATCCGGTATAACTCAATCCATGTAGCCTCACTTCACAACATTAAAGCGTGGTGGTCGTATTTCGTATTTCATGTAAATAAACAAATTTTACACGCGTTGTATACGCCGCTATGAGTCCCATATCGAACAGGACGCGGCACGACGACTGCCGCTCTTTAACATCACAACAGATTAATAAAACAAACAATCAAACTTCACATGAGGACAGACACCTACAAACGTCAGGAGCATTTGTTTCAATAGCAAATACACAATGTTTGCTCAGGTAGAGACTACAATCAATGACACTCACCTCAACAAAATTGTGAATTGCTTCTAAATACGCCAGGTTATTGTCAGTGACATCAACACATATGCAGAAATACAGTCCAGCATATCGCCTGTACACTATTTTGAAATTTCTAAACTGTGAAATTGAAATAAAATCAAGTTCATTATTACCGTACAACAAAATAATACATGAAATGATCTGCATAATATCAATGGTTGCACGATGAAAAATTGAAGACTTCTTTTTTTTCATTTTGAGGTTCCCAAAATATTTTTTGAAAAATGAGTCTCATTGTTATTCAAAAATTTTTAGCAAAAATACAATAATATAAGTTTGAAGCAAAAATTTTGTTTCAGCATTGAAAACATCGCACCATGTTACATTCTCATGCGAGGTTACGCATGTACAGAAAATCTCATCGATGGTGTAATTGTACCTGCAGAAAGTACCCTGTTGCATGACCTTTTGGCAGTATTACATAAAGCCTATTTTCGTAATTTTGTAACTAGGCGAAAACAGCAAAATTGTGTAAGAGTTGACAGTTCATAGGGATCATGAAGACGAGTCGCAGAGACTTTTACAAATTTGCATTTATCTACACAAAACCCCTAAAATCAAGAAAATGTATACACTTTTGTTGTGTTCTTACCTCAACAAAGTTTGTATGTTTAGCATCTCTTACTGTCACCAATGCATGCACCTCTTCTATCAATTTCTGTTTCTCGTCATCATCAAATGACATGTACCACTTAGCTAATCTTGTTTTGCCAGCACGATTTTGGATCAATATAAATCGAATCTGAGAAACAAAACAATGCAAAACATCATAGAATAAGTAATGAAATGGAACATATTGCCAGTAATAGCACATAATTTAAGTACAGAATTATGTACACCCTACATACAGAACTATGTGTTGGTTGGTTAGGGTGATGCAGATAGGCAATGAGGGGGGGAAGACAACAGTCACCTGATAAAAGTCCTGTACATACGGCTATACTGTAAAAAATGTGTTGAGTGCTGGTTAATACGAATTAACTCTCCTTTTTGTGAATGATGAGGATTTTGAACCTCAAATTGTTCAAGATTGGTGGGTTATAGCCCAGCTGCTTTTACAAGGGCGGTATGGTTTTATTGTCCAGTGGTGTAACTAAAAAACCGATTACAGCACCAAACTTTACCAGACATGACATATGTGTTAGGTTGAGTGATTTTAATTGGATATGCCTGATTTGCGTCAAGGTCAGGTGAAGATCAAACTTTTGTTGTATATCACACTATATGAATGTATACCTCGTCTTGGGTAAAACAGTTATAATCGTATTTTTCATATACAATTATGAAACATCAAAGTCGTGTTTTATGTTTAAAAAAGTAAACAAGTAAGGTGCAGAATTGTGCTTTTTCACTAGTATACTAGCTAATGTCCATGTATTACCAATGGGAGCTAAATAGATATTTCAGATAAACACGGATAAATATAGCCATTTATAACTATCAGCTAGATCTAACAGCAGTTAGATATATATCCATTTATAACTAGCAGCTAGATCTAATTCCAGTGTATAGTTAGAAAACTAGTCATCCCCAGTCAGAACAAAATTATTTTTTCAGGATATATCCAGATATATAGCCCATTATAACTATCAGCTAGATCTAACAGCAGTTAGATATATATCCATTTATAAGTACCAGCTAGATCTAAGTCCAGTGTATAGTTAGAAAACTAGTCATCCCTGGACAGACCAAAATAATTTTTTCAGGATAAATCCAACACTCTTAACAGAGCTCGCTACTGCATCATTTATATCAACCATTACTGCCCGTCTATATTTTATTTTTTACCGTGAGATATGACTCGGGTAGTCGTCACTGAAATCGATAACCCTTGACAAAGCACTGAAATCGACAACCCTTGACTGTAATAGTCTGTAGTGTCTGTTAAATGATGTGTCACTCGCAGCTATTAACACCCATTCACAAACACATTAACACATGACCCAGCCGAGTTTGACCACTAACAGAGTTCTACCAATGGCAAAGTTCGAAACTGGTGGAGTTCAACTGTATTTGATGGTTGACCCACAGCAATATTTGGTTGATAAACATTGATTTTCCACAATCCAATGCGCTTTTCTAATGAAATCATGAGTATGAGTTTTGACTTAGGCGTGGCATGCACTAATTACAGCCGGTGACTCGTTCGATCCCTTCTAATCACAAAAAAAATAACCTAATTAAAGGGGAACTAAATAGAGCCTATTTTGGTGTTTGTATTTATCAAGTTATGTATATTGATTATAAATTTGAAATAAAAAAATAAAAAAAAATTATTATCTTCAGAGTTATGATGATTTAAATATGAGAAACCATAAACCTGCGAAGGATTTCCGTTTGCGCCATCTTGCCATAAAAAAACGCCCTCATGAGGTATAAACAGGTAA